ACATTCATTATATTAAGGTTATTTTGATTATATCAAGAGATATGGTCAAGAGAAGAGTTAGGAAGAGAGTTATTCTTTGACCAAGTCAAAAACCAACCCTTTAAATATATTTTCGAGTAGTACGATTTAATTTATTAGACTATTTCTTCCAACTTCTTAAATTCGTTAATGAAACAATTGTTGGTGAAGTGATGGTTGACAAAATGAATCAAACCCATATTTATTTCTACGTTTATCAAATTCGTGATTTTAATTGGTCAATCAACAAATGGCATGGGTTAAAATTTTGTGTTCCCTCCTGTTAATTTTGTGTTCCCTTTATGACAGTGTCAAAATACTTTGGGCTGCATGCATAATTTGGGCAATTCGGCTACTAATGGAAGCAGCTTCGACCAGAAACCTTAGTTTTGACATGATGAACATTAGAATGTTGGATACAACAAAAATATTTGTAATCAGGGAAAAAATAAGTTTTATTTGATGGTAGATTGTCTCTACATGAAGTAAGTTTTGCACTATTATCATCAATAAAAGTATCAAAATCAGGATGATTATCTCTAATTCATTCTCACTGTTGAGGTATAGTAATCTCTTTTTTTGTCTGCTTCTATTTCTAAAATTGATAAACTTGTTCTTGGGAATTTACCAAAAGTTTTTTTGAACTTTACTCTTTTTGCTCCTTGGAACCAGTGATGGCATCTGTTTTTCCTTTTCTGCAGGTACTAACCATCACCAGATCACTCATTAAATCTTTCTTTTAAACATTGTAGTAATTCTTTTGCATATCTATGTGGGTTATTGTGGAAATTGAAGTCTTTTTTCCTGCTTTTTAGTTCTTTAAAGAATTTGAGATATTTCTCTTCCTCTTCATTTGTAGGTTGTATTTCCATACCACAGTTAGGTGCAGCAATTATATTTGACTTCTCAAAATTTCTTAAAAAAATATTCAAATGTAACTTCTTTTTGGAGCATTCATAAATATCCTTGGATGAAGGGATTGAATGACTTCATCCCAATCACAAATGATTTTCAAAGAACAACCCTTCTCTTGAGGTTTTTGTTTGATTAGAGTATAGAGAGAGTTAATTTTATTTTGATTCATACCTTTATAGCATATTTTTAGGCTTTGGACAAGTATTAGTCTTTTACAAATGGGCGAATATTGTTATAAAGGTATTCTTGTCTTTTGTAATCCAAAGGGGGTAGTGTTGACACTAAAATAGATAAAGATTTAAATATCTGCTTTCTTAGTTTTAATAAATAGACTTCAGCAAAAGGTTCATTAGCAATCCCATGAGCTTTGATCAAACCAATATTAGCTGCTTCAAAGAGAAAATGTTGATATTTCTGGATATTTGGTAATTTCTTAAAATAAATTCCCAAAACTGATTTGATGTCCAAGCATTGAAAGCCTTTCCACCTTCATAACATTGAACTTTATTTAATCCAGTTGGACTAGACTTTTTACCACTTTAACCACATGGCCTAGACAATCTACTCTTGTTCTTCTGTAGAGTTTTTTAATCATTCCAAAATTACCATCATATTTGAATTTAGTACATCAGGAAAATAGGTACAAATGGGATGTCCACCAGCAAAAAGGGGGTCTGAGACTATTAAATTGTTCTGTCTTATTATCAAAACAAAATTGGTTACACGACATAATCCCTGTAATTTTTTATTTTTGTGCACGTCGATCTTAAACATAAAAAAAATAAAAATAAAAATGACGTTTTTGAACTTTTTACATAAATCAAATAAATTAATATATAAAAATCATTTAGCATTTTTAAATGACAAATAAATAATTTATAAAAATTTTAAATTTCAAATTTTTTTAAAAAAATTTATTTATTATATATTTAAAATGTCTTATTCATTTCATCAAATTTTTGAAAATACTATAGAATCATTTGAAGATATAACTGACTTGTCTGAAAGTTCAACTCAACAAGTTGGATCAAGTGATTTTATTTCAGAATATAATTTAGCTGAACTAGGATTAGAAGATTATGAGCCAAATGAATTAGTTCTCAATACAATTCATGATTTAAAATCATTTTTTAATAATAAAAGTAATTGTTCCTGTCGTAGTAAAAAAATTTGCTTTGAAGAGATTGGATTTAAGAAATTTTTTGAAAGATATTTAGAAATGAAAGGATTAGAAGATGAAAAAAAAGATCTTTGTATTAAAGCTCAATTAATGGTTTTTGAATTTAAGAAAGATAAAAACAAATCAATGACAAAATATAAGTATCAATATAATTCATCTATATATATTTGTCAAAAGGTATTTTTAAAAATTTGTAATATTAGTGAAAATAAATTATCAGCTTTACAAACACATTTGCAAAATAATGGTCTATGTGATCGTCTTCATGGTAATTTAAAAAATGTCCCAAGACTTAACTCTCGTGCAATAGTTAATCTGGATACAGCAATTTTTGTAGAACAATTTAAAGCTCAATATGCAAACATTCATGGTTTGCCATCTCCAATGAGGATTCAAGATAGTTCTGATCCATTTATATATCTCCCAACTGATAAAAATATTTTTTGATTTATAAGGATTTCAAATATCATTTAAACTTATTAAACTTAGAAAATTATCAATCTGAAAAAATTATCTCATATGAAACTTTCCGGAAATTATGGCATGGAACAAAACCTATTATTAAATTTCAAACACATGCAAGTGATCTTTATGATACTTGTGAAAACTTTAGTATCAAATTTAAAGCATCAAATAATGAAGATGAACAAGCAAACATTAAATTTGAATCTGAAGAACATCTTGCTGCTGCAAATCTTGAAAGACAACACTATAATAATATCATTGATAAAAGCAAAAATGATCCAACAATAACACATATTTGTTATGATTGGGCCCAAAGTGTTGGAGCTCCTTATTCTCCTCAACAAGTTGGGGCAATTTATTTTAAATCTCCATTTATTATACACCTTTTTGGTATATGTAAGACGGATAATGGTGAAAATCATCAGTTAAATTTTACTATTGGGGAAGATGAAATGCCAGAAGGAATATCAAAAAAGGCTAACACAACTTTGAATATGGTATATCACTTTCTTAAGACAATTGGACATGTTGACAAAAAAGATCTTTATGTAACATGTGATAATTGTTCTGGACAGAATAAGAATAATCTATCACTCTATTTCTGGTCATGGTTAGCAATGTTAGGCTGGTATGAAAATATTTACATAAATTTTATGATTCCTGGACATACAAAATTTATTTGTGACTCTTTTTTTGGATTAAAAAAAAAAAAATACAGAGATAGACACATAAATATTGTTGATGATGTTGAAAAAGCTATAAATGATTCATCAATAAATAATGAATCTATTAGATATAATAATGGGTTGGGTTGGAGCTGGTATGACTTTAACTCAATGTTAGAAGAACATTTTAGAAATTTGCCAAATATAAGAAAATATCATCATTTTCGTTTTGGTAGGTTGGATGATGATATTGGAAAGGTCTATGTTTCAAAAAAATTGGGAGACCCAGAAATTTGTTTTGAACTATTTAAAAATACTAATTTTGATAAAAACAGTCCATTAAATACACTTGGAACTACTCCTTTAACAGATAAACGAAAGAGATATTTATATACAAATATTCGGCAACATGTAGATATTCAATATAGAGATATTCTTTGTCCTGAACCTAATTAATTTGTATTTTGACAATTTATATCATATTATTATTTTTAATTATATTATTTATTTTAATCAATAACTGTATTATTTATTTTATCAATAATTATATTATTTATTTTTATCAATTTTATTTTATCAATTTATTTATTGCACAATTTCAGTATGTAGATCACTTCCTTTTCCATTTTTGGATTTTTTGGATTCATTTTGTTATCCCTGTAATTAAACTTTTTTATTATGCAAAAATGGTTTAATATTGTTACTAGTCATAGTCTTTATATCATAGAGTAATAATATGCAAAAAACTCAATTTTGGTTGGAAGTCCTCAGACCCCCTTTTTGCTGGTGGACATCCCAGATGATAATAATAATAAATAATTATACATGTTATTGATAAATCAAATAAATAAAAATAAAATAAATAATAGATTAATAATAAAAAAAAAAATAGAAATAAAATTTAAGAAAATTGCCTATTTCAAAAATCCGAAATGACCCCAGTGAAATCACATTGATTACAAATAATCTGGACAGAATAATGAAAGGACTTTTTGATTTCACAATTTCTTTAATACATCAACAACAAATTGATTCAGTGATTTTTGTTGGAGAAGTAAGTCCACCTTCTGAAAGAAATAATGTTTTCAAAAATTCAAATGATTTGATCCAGTTAGGTACTTTTATGAAGGATTGTATGGACTCATCCATAGCTAAAGGTGCAGATATTGAAATATTAGGATTTCAATGCATTGAGTATACTGTGGATTTTTATGTGATGGATTTAGCTGGTAGGGCTACTTACACAATGTCACATCTAGGACAAATCAAGATTCCTGCAGATTTCAAAGATATTTATTCATTTGTTGATGATATAGGATTGCTATTAGGAATAAAAGATATCTTTACAAGATCATTTAATAATTTTTATGAAAAGCTTTGTGTACCAAGTCAATTGGAAATAAAACCTACATTGAAGGAAAAAACATTAAGCACTCAAGAATTTGGGCAGTTGGTCAGTAAAACAAGAGATAGAAAAAGGTCATGTCCATTGTGGTTTGGAAAGGTTTAAAGGATTTTTCTTTCTCAATATATATTAATTTGATTTTAATTGCTTTACTTCATCTGAAAATTTGTGTTGTCTAAATAATAAGTTTTTATTATAAAAAGTTAATCTTTCTTGCTTAGTTTAGATTTTTTGTAATTAAGTAGATTAAACATTAAATATTTAGTAATCTGAGGCTATGGATATTGAGATTATCTGTTAATTGATATATATCTAATTTTTTAGTTGTTTTTAACATTTCATTTTAAATATTCTTTAGATTGTCTTTATTTGTTATAATAATGACAAATTGATTGTTAGCTTAGAGTAAAAAATTGTAAATACAGTTAATAATGATGATTAAATTTGATCCCTGAAATTCTTGGTAACATCATGTTCACTTTGTCTGGTTTTGTTACAGTATGCCCATATTCAATTTTTCTACTTGTATTTTTGCATGCAACACAATGATCAACTTTCACCTTTTTGTTACAGCTGCTCCATCAGAAGCAAAACCATTGATGAATAATTCTTACCACATTTCCCAAAGAAATTTACTAATTGTCCGAGCATCACCCAGAAGTTAGCTTAAATTTGGCTCCATGATACCATCACTTTTATACAAGTAACCAAATGCTTTACTATTATAACATCAGCACCTTCGTCTGTCATATAAATCTTTCCACAATCTTTCATTAATTATATCAGAAAATGAACCAAGGAATTCACTGGCAGATTCTTCATTTGTATAATTGGTTGAAAATGTAATATTGTATAAAAATCAATTTTCATAAGGCAGTAGTTCTAGTATTACTAAAATAAAAATTTATTTGTTTGATTAAATTAATTATAACTTCTACTATCTATCCGTATTTTTTCATCATAAGTAGAAGATGATTTTTTATGATAAAAGTTTATAAAATTTACCTTTCATTTGGTCTTTTGTAAGAGACTCAACTTTTTCGCAGCAATTACTAGATTTTAATTATTAACTTAAATTACCATTTTTAGAATTTATAAAATAAAGCAGGCCATTTTTTAATTGATTACATCATTCATACATATAATGTAATTATCACGTGCCACAATGATAAGATTTTGGATTTCAAATCAACTGGAACTATATCTTGTGTATTTTTACAACTTTTTTTTGCCACATTTACTCAATTGAGTTTATTGTTTATTATTATTATTATCGTATTATTAATAAAAAATGACTAAGCATGCTCCAACATTTTTCATTTAGTGGATTTACAATTTATTTATTTTAACATGATTTCAATTTGTCGTAAATCTTTTTTTTCGTTAATTTATTTATTTATCGTTTTCAACTATATCCGATCTTCATGGAAACAGTATTATTTGAATGATAGTAACCATAATTCTTTGAGTGACATTAATGGAATTTCTTTACAAAAGCATTCAATATTTTCAAATGAAACGAATTTTAGTCCAATAAATAGCCATTCCAAATTATTTTCTGAGGTATGTGTTTTTAAAAATTTTATATCATCATATATATAGGTAGATGAAAATTTTTTTCAATTATTTAAAGTTAATTTTTTAATATTTTTTAATTTTAGTGCAATGATATTTATAAACAACCAAAAAAATGTACTTTTGTACGTGAATATTGTGCTAATCCCTCTTCCTTGGTCAATTATTTAAAGTATTACTTTTGTGATTTACAAAATTGGCAATTTTTTGCGCTGACAACTTTGGTGACTATACATTTATACATATAATATACAGTTTTAATTAATTTTATATACTTACAAAATAATACATTAATAGTTTCTATGGCTTCTATTTTTGTTTGGATTCATTGGAATCGCTGCCTCTGAATTTTTTTGTCCAAATCTATACACGATTGCTTCTAAATTGAGTCTATCCGAAAGTATGGTAAATGTTAAAAAGTTACACACACATATATGTGTTTATTATGTATAATCTATATATTGATAAATCATCTTTTTTTAATAACAATAATTTGGTATAATAAAAAGGCCGGCGTAACATTTTTGGCATTTGGAAATGGATCACCAGATGTTTTCAGTACTTTCAGTGCTGTGACACATGGATACGGCTCTTTAGCTATTGGTGAACTTCTTGGAGCAGCAAGCTTCATAACTTTTGTGGTGGCTGGAACTATGGCGGTAATAACACCATTTCATGTCACCAGATTGCCATTTCTACGTGATCTAATTTTTTTCACTAGTGCTATCTCATTTACCCTCATGATAATATATGACGGAGAAATTCATTTATGGGAAGGCATCGTCTTGGTCTTATTTTATTTTACCTATGTTGGTGCGGTGTTATTTGTAGCTTGGTATGAAAAGAATGAAAAGAATGAAAATGAAGTTTTTGGTAAGATAATTTTAATAATAATAGTAATAATAATAATAATAATAATAATAATAATAATATAATTATTGTATCAATTGATCCAACTAACTAGTGTACATACATACATACATACACACATACATAAATATATAAATCAAGATGCATATGGTTATGACACATCCAATGAAACAGAACCTTTATTATCTGATAATCGAACTGATAATATTAGTAGTAGGGAAACTTATATAGACCAAGAATCACAAAGATCCTTAACTCCAACTGAATTCCATCAAAATAAGTCAGGTAGAAGTACAAGATCAATACATCGAGGCGTGAGGCCTTCATTACTTGGTGCAATAGAGGTAAAACAATTGTTTAATGTTTTTTATCTTTTGATATTTTCTTTACTGCTTTTTTTTTGGTTTTATTAATTTATATATAATATATATGTGCATTTTTGTTATTAGTTTCGTGATGATGTCAATGCAGGAAGATTTAGATTACCTACACGTCACCATAATGAATATTATAATCGTCGACCAAATAGACAAATGCGTAGTACAACAATGCCATCATATAGTTCCATTAATGATAATCCAAGAAGAAAGTCATGGTCTAGTTTTGCAGGTCCTGTTAATCAATCACTTGTAGATGATGATTTAAACACCCCCCAAATTAATATTAGTGCTCCAACATTGGCAAAAATTGATGGATCTTCCTCGTCTAGTTTAACCTCCAATCTAAACATTACAAATTCTCAAGATTCTGGTCTAAATAATAACAACGATAATGACGGCAACAGAGACAACGAAACAATAAACAATTTGAATGTTCCGCATCTAATGGTGACTTCGTCACTGTCAAATAAAAGAGCTGCTCTTTTGCCTGAATCATCAATACGTTCATCACCACCCTCATTGTCACCAAAAGCTCTACCAGTTAATGATACTGCTCCAGTATCTCCTTTGTTTTTAGAATCAAGATATGGGTTAAATGGTGGAACATCATGTACTTCACCTAGTGCATCACCTTCATTTCCTCATGTCACCAATGACGAATCAACTTGGTTGACAAAGGTGCAAGAAACTTTATTTCCTTCAGTTACAGGATTTTCACAGAAATCTTTTTTTGCAAAATTAACATCATTAATGGCCATTCCTGCCATCCTTTTGCTTACGCTTACATTGCCTGTTGTGGAAACAAATGACCCGACTTCAGAAGAAAATGAAAACAAGAATGAAAATAATTTAGAACGTCCTTCTATTGTTATTGATAATGATGCAAATACAGGCATAAGAGATGTGAAAGAGGAGGAAAGGACAGATGGTTGGAATAAACGGTTGACTTCCATACAATTTCTATTTGCACCAATATTTATATCAAGTGTTTTATTTGGTAAATGCATATATTCTTTAAAATGAATATCCTTTTTTTTAAAAAAAAATACTAATATATATTAATGTTTTATTTTTAATTAATAGCTGATGATGATTCAATTGTTACTACTGTATCATATGCTTTCATTTTTGGATTGGCTTCATCAATCTTTTGTTTTTTATTTACAGATAAGAATAAACCACCAAAATTTTATTCATTACTTTGTTTCATGGGATTTGGTGTTGCAATGGTTTGGATATTTCTTATTGCAAATGAGGTAGTAGGTCTACTTCAAGTAAGTATTGTTTTTTAAAAAAAAACTTAATAAATAATTATATTGTGATTTTAAATGGAGTTTTTTTTTTGTTATACAACAATTACTTTTTTTTATTGTTAATTAGGCTGTAGGTCTAATAATTGAAGTATCTGATGCTATACTTGGACTAACAATTTTTGCAATGGTATGTTTCAATATGAAGGAAAGAAGAAATCAATTTATTTTATTAAAATCATTCTTATCATTCTTTAATATATATATACACATATCTATGTATGCGATTTTAAAAATAGGGAAATAGTTTAGGAGATTTTGTTGCTAATATTACTACTGCAAAAATGGGTTCACCAATGATGGCTATAAGTGCATGTTTTGGTGGGCCTATGTTAAGTAAGTTATTATTATATATTCTATTTTATTTGGATGAAAAAAATAAAACTTAAAAATAAACATTTTTTGATTTATATTTTTACAGATATTTTATTTGGAATTGGTATTAGTACAACTTATACAACAATTACAACCGGACATTCAACTAAGATTAACATAGATATAAATTTATTGGTTTCAGTATTTGGACTATTAATTGGATTATGTTCAGCTTTAATTTATTTGCCTTATAATGGTTATCATATGACAAGACCTTGGGGATATTATTTAATTTCAATATATGTTGTTTGTATGATAACAAATCTCATAATAGAATTCAATTCTATGCATTCAACTCCTGCTGATATTGCATTGGTTTGAATGTAGCAAATTCGATTTTTACAAAAGAGTGCAACTTATTTAATTAATTGTTATATTGCATATTTTTTATTATTTTTATTATTAGCATAAAAATTCAACTTGTAATTATTATTTAATGATTTAAAAAATCATGTACATACTGTATATGAAAACAATAAAACTTTCATCCACTAATTTATTAATTGAAATATAATTTTGAAAAATAGTTTGATATTTTTATCAGTATACTAAAACCTACCCGTCAGATAATTTAGCTACACGGGAAATTTTTTTGGTTAAATTTTCACTTTTTCACTTGATGATAAAAATGGCTTCAATTGAGAAAATTAAATGTGACGACGAGCTAATGGGAACATGATAGAAATCGGAAACCATTTGAGAAAAAGAAGATAGCGCGACCAAAGGACAGGTAATACTCACGGATGGCTTCGGGTCCAGCTCTTTCCATGCAATTACAATTGCTCCGGTAGTTTATTTTTAATATTTAACATTTAAAAAAATAAAAAAATTGCGAAAATGAGGAACCAATTTTGAGAAAGAAAAGAACTTTGGTAGCCTAATGACGATAGTTCACGAAATTGGCTGTTAGTTTAAAAGCTGAATATCTCCAAAATCAAACAAAGATACAATGAGAATTCTTTACCCCCCCAAAGCTAAGCTACATGACAACTTTTCATAATCTTTAAACGCGCAGAGTCAGTAATTTCTCTTCGTTCATTCTCGTCGTTTGCATGGTTATTACAATCACTACAAAGGTGCCAATCTAAATATTTGATATGCTTGGACTATCTTCAAGTCGAAATCAAAAAAAAAAATCAACGCACTAAAAGAAAGTATGACGAAAAGATTAAACGAAAATGAATTCATCAAAAATAACGAAAATACAGTTGATGATGATCTGGGTAATGTTGAATCAGCAACAAATGATGCAGTAATGATGGAAATTTTATTAGAACATGCAAAAAAAAATTTTGAGTTGTAAATTTTGTTTTTATTAAATAAATTTGTTTGATTTTTTCATACATCGTTCATGTTTTTTGTCTTAATCATATATCTTAAATTGGTCGCGTTTATAATCATTTAGTCAACATTCATTATATTTTGATTACATTGAGGGATATGGTCAAGAGAAAGGTTAGGAAGAGAGTTATTCTTCAACCAAGTCGAAAACTAACCCTTTAAATTCATTTTCGAGTAGTACAATTTAATTTATTAGACTATTTCTGTATTTCAAAGGGTTGCTTCCAACTTCTTAAATTCGAACCACTTGTTAACAAAACAATTGTTGGTGAAATGATCGTTGAAAAAATGAATCAAACCCATATTAAATGTTTTTATTTAATATTAATATTAACGTTTATTTTTACGTCATCAAATTCACTATTTTGATTGGTCAATCAACAATTTGCATGGGTTAAATTCTTGTATTACCATAACAGTCTTACATTGTTATGTAACTTTACTATCACTATATTCTTTTTACATCTAAAACATAAGAAAGTAGAAAAATTCCAAGTAATGTTAGAATTCACCAGGTAATTCCGAGAAATAGGCAAGCTTTAACTAAGTAAATGAAACTTTACTAAGTAGTAAGTAACTTTAGACTAGTAATAATTTGGCATGAATAACTTACACTAATGGAGTAATAACTTTTACTATGGACGAGTATTGATTACTATGGGATGAGTGTGGTTTTTGAAAAATTAAAGGTTTTATATACTAAATTATTTTTGTTTGAAATTTTACAAAAAAAGTTTTATAATCTACATATAGAAAATTTTGGACGCGTTTGGCAGTGTTGAAAATTCAATCGGGGTATCACGTTACACCAAATTTCCATGTGCACGAAATATTTATTATATCTATTATGTATTATATTAAAAACGTTAGGTTCACGTGAGCGTAACGTTTAGAATGGCGCCCACGCATAAATAAGCGTAACGTTTAGAATGGCGCCCACGCATAAATAAACGTAACGTTTAGGCTGCCACGCATAAATAATTTTTTTGAATTGTTCAATAACGCAAACGTGTGCCACAATCTATCCGTTATTGTATCGTTGGGTTACGTTTAGACCACCACAAGCACGCGAATAAATATGTTGTGATGCGTAACGTTTTAGACCACCACATGCAATCTATCTATTATTGTATCGTTGGGTTACGTTTAGACTACCACAAGCACGTAAATAAATATGTTGTGATGCGTAATAATTTTTAAATATAATAATTAGAATTTTTCAGTCTGAGATAACTTCGTTATCTCTAATTTTTAAATTGTGTAATTGTGTAATAATAATCTGTTATGTATATACTATAAATGCAACAGAATAAAAACCCGTGTTCTGCTCATTGATTAGTATAATAACTAAATAAATGTGTGTCAGAAATTAGTTGATTTTAGAGGGGTGGAGTGGTTGGCCTTTGGATCAGGTCACATGGTATTATATATGTATATATTATAAGAAGACAAAAACAAATCAGCTGATAGTTGTAACCCGTCAGCAAAGCGACGGGGCTACAACTAGTAATAATTATAATAGAGATATACTTCAAAAAAATTTTTTTTAATTAAATATTAGTATTTCGGCGACAATCACCACCGGTGAGAAATAGCAATCCCCAATATTATTCCTTACGAATTTGTTCTTCATAAGATTAATTTAGATCTAATTATAACATCCACCAGCAAATTACAGCGTATCAAGATGGGAATGACGTTGGTAGGCCAATATATCCATATGAATTAATTTCTAAGCATTTTAATAGACAACCTCCCAATGAAAAAATTCATATTATTGTACGAGTAAATACCCAACCCCGCCCATTAGTAATAGTGGATATGTATTTTATTTACGTCAGCAGTATGTAACTGCGATATGATTTTTTATTTTATTTTTATGTTGTTATTTCGGTAACATTTTTTATATATCAATAAAGTAAGGTTCTATGTAACCGTTGTCTCGATCAGAATTATGTGGACGTCCGTGCTTATTTTCATCAAAATCATGTCTGCGTGAGCAATTGTTCACACCGATCAAATTAGCAAGAAAAAAATTGAATGTGTCTCAATACTTTGATATAATACGTCATTATACATAAGATATTAATATCTCTCGCAAATCTAGAAATGACAGACGCAAAACTCGGGAAGATTCACTGATAATCCTAAGCAGTATATGCAATTTAAAAACCGGGATAAATATATGCATAGAATTGACGAAAATTTTATAATTATCATAATCATAAATAGGAATACGGAAGACGTAAAGGCGATATTTGATTATGGAGAGGTATGTAGGTATTTAGAGGTAAATAATCTCGATTCGAAATATTCTCAATATGTGCAACAATTAATTGGCTTATTTTTTCGGATATTTATATGTATAGCTTTATTAATGAAAAATCAAAAATCAAAGTATGAGAGAAATAAATATAAACCAAACATATGGGGTAGATATCGTAGAATTGTCTTCTATATACCTGTCCGATCTACGTATAGATGAATTAATCAACAAAGACATATTAACAATTAAAATGTTCCGCATATTCAACAAAGTCTTCACAAATCTTGCCACAATTGTAGGATCCGATTGTTGCACAGGAATTTCACATTCACATAAATGAAAATATCTATCTACATCATCCATATCTCGAACAAGAGCATTACTTGTATTCCAACAATCCCAAATTCGTTCTTATTAGGCCTAATGTTTTTACGAACCCAATACATCCCATCATTTGTTTCCCGCCACAACTTCACAATATCATCATTCTTTTTTTTAATTGTGCAAAATAAACGCGAACATTCTGTGTATACATGAGCTCGTAATATTTTCCAATATGTTTCTCTACAAACATAATGTCAGGTCATCTTCCTGATTTCCCTTCGCCTCTCTTATTTGCGCTTGCAACGCTTTGGTGTTCAGAACTAAAAAAATATATATAAATACCAAAAAAAATACCATATAAACTAATTTCTTCTATACTTACGTGCTGACATACACACTGAGCAACTGATCCATACTGGAGTTTACGTGTTTATCGAATCAGAAGAATCATTGTTGGAAAGAATCCTCCACAGCCAGTCTTATATTATTTAGAGAAGGAAGCGGTTGAATCTACAAGACATTTAATGGGTAGAAATCCACGTAGACCATTCAAGAGGGAAGAATTGCAAATCGTAGATATGGAAAATCTAGAGTACCCACCAGACGAATTTATCCAGAAATATCATTATCGTCCTCGAAATACATCATTATCAATTGGAAGAGTCTTGGAGGTAGCCGTTCTTGATTAAAGCTTCTCGGATAAAGTTATAAAGATCTACATCATATGGAATTTCAATGAGGCATATACCTTGCTCCTTACATATATTCCGCTTTTTTTTGATCGCGCTTTCTTTGCTCATCTAAATCTTGCCCGCTTTTATGAAACATTGGATTAAGAGCATAGTGATGCTGACCATTAAATTCGAAGGCCAGTTGCAATTCTTCGTTATATCCATCAAGCTGTAATCCATTCAAGAATTTTGGTGCACGAGATGGGAATTTTTTTCCTAACAGATCTTCGAATATATACCTTGATGTACGTTCCCCTTTCGAATGAGGACATAGGGGGCACCAGTCATATCTCTTCGTAATAATTTCAAGTGGCCTCTCCCATAAATGATTCTTATGGCACGAAAATAAGAAAGTTGTAGGACCGGTTTGAATGAGGCATTTCCCCCCGCATTTTTCAGCGTAAATTTGAGCTTCTGCAAGATTTGACATGTTTATACTTATGTATATGTATATTAGAAAGAAAAAAAATCACGTACATTCCAAATTGGAACGGAGATTACTTTGCTAGAAAAAAAATCATAAAGATATAGTTACCGTCAGAATGAAATATTTTTATGTATATAATATTGATGAGATCAAACCACCGAAAAAATCTTTAGATGATGAAGATGCTCCAAAGTGGCCTTTCTATATTGTAGTGTCTGGGAGATCAAACACT